CTAGAAGCTTATCTCGACGAACCTCCTTTGGACATCACTAATTTTGAGAGCTTGGACATCCTCAATTGGTGGAAGGATAATGCACATCGGTATGGTGATTTGGCTGCAATGGCATGTGATCTGCTAAGTATTCCAATCACAACAGTGGCTTCGGAGTCCTCCTTTAGTATTGGATCGCGAGTGCTAAACAAATATAGGAACCGTCTACTTCCAGAAAATGTGCAAGCTCTAATATGCACTAGAAACTGGATCAAGGGATATGAATCTTATGCACATGGTAAAGAATAAGCAATTTAATTGATTCTACAGTAATTATCCTTAATTCAAAGTAAATATTTTTTATATTATCAGATGAAGAAATTGCTGCTGATGGTGAGGAAGAGAAATTGCCTTCGTTTCAATCTATTGTCGATGGAGGAGATGAGGATTAAAGATGAAGAGGAGATGAGGATTAATTTAAGCCAAATCGTCTTGCATCAAACCATACTATAAATGTTAGACTACAAACAAAATCATTTAATGATTATTATATAATGAATCAATATGATCCATACCATATGTTTGATTTTGCTTGGTCTTCCCTCTTTTACCTAATATGATATCAACTTATTTCATAATCAAGTCAAATCATATATGTTTTGTGTTTAGTCCTCATGATCAAAATTATCTCGAGCCTTGTGATTTTCAGTCCAAGACTGACTTTATAGCACCAAATTTTCACATGTAAGCCAATTTAAAATAAATAAAAAATTCCACGTGAAGCATGTACTATGTGACAACAACATGCCGATGTTCACACTTGCCTGATTAAATATATGCTAATTTCCAACAAAATAAATCTAATTTCAGATTTAGACAAAAAAATTAAATAATTTATAGAGTTTGTAGCTACCAACGCAAACGTGCCATCGAAAGGCTGACATATCAAAAATGAAAATAAGTTTTCATCTTTTATTTAGGATTTGAAATGCGTTATTTGTAGTTTTTTCAAAATCGGTGTTCTTTTAAAACAAAAGTGCACTAATATATTGTCTAATTAAGAAACACACAAGAAACTGGCGAAATTAATTGAACATTATAACTAGTTATCACTAGTATGTTTTGATGACGAGTTAGTAGTTATCACATGGGATAACGTGGAAACTAGGCTTAGTTAAAATAGGCAATGGGCTATACTCGCTACTAGTGTGGTAGTATACAGAAGAACGGAAAAAGGTAAAATAGAATCGAGCAGCAAATATGAATCGAGTAGGTTCCTCTTTTGACTTTTTGACATCTAGTTCAAAAATGGCTAAACATCGCATTTATTGAACATCGCATTTCAGTTTGACAATATAATTCAGATTAATTACTGATTATTTACACAATATATATCACTCCCTTATAATGAAGGCAACACAAAGTAGTATTTGAAAAATTATGTTGTTCAAGAAGGAATTTAAAACTATGTAAATCTTTAATTTCAAATAAGTATTCAGTATCGTATAGTGTAAAATCAGATAATAGTATAGATCTAATTAAGACACTGAAAACCCCTGTTATAATAAAAACTAAAAAGAGACAAATTATTGTATTTTCAATTAAAACAATAAGTACAAAAAACAGGTCAAACATTTACTAAATTGCAGTCTTGAGACTCGCAATTTGCAATTCGACTTCCAACCTACAAAATAATAAAATGCAGCTCTGTTTTTCTTGTCAATGATATTGATTTGTCTTAAGAAACCTCGCAGTAGAGATGTTGTTCCACGAAGCCCGGCTAAGGTAAAACCACCGTCCAATATAGCTTTCTGAAACTGTAAAAAGGTTCATCAGATGATGTCAGAGTACTTATTGTTAGAGCATGATTTTTAATTCAGAAATCTAATGAGATTCGAGAGATCTATCAAATTCTGTTTTAGTGTTCAAGCTTTTGTAAATTCGAATATCGTATTAAAATGGAGAACTCCTTTGTGAAAAGCATTCAAGATTATCTCTAGCAAAGAAAGGCAATCGACATTTTCTCAAATTATGTGTACAAACTAAATATTGGTCCAGTGTCGAGATAGTAAACATTAGTTAATGATCCCTAGAAATGAAGTTATATTATAGTTAACTTATGATGTGTTTTGGTATTACGGCCTAACTATATATGAACATCTACCATGTATCAATAACATTGTTCGTCAGATCAATAATGTTAAGAGTAGTATAAATGATGTTTTCAAACGAAATCTTGAACTCAAGATAACTATATGAATGTAAAATTAAGGATAATTATCCTAAATAACTCTAAAATATGTTTTTACCTAAAAATGGAAAATGACTACAAAGAAATTTCAGAAGTAACAGATCTTTCTATCTTTACTTTATAGATATTTTAATATACATAATATTTAAATAAATAAAATAAAGTAGTTTTTTCTTTTGAATAATACGTTTTTGAATTGAAACTTTTTAATTTTTTTCAAGTTTTTTCTTTCAAACTTTTTTCAATCTTTTCAAAATTTAATTTGAAGTCTGAAAATCTTACTGAAACTATTTTAAAAAAGAATTATTTAAACTTTTAGTACTTTAAAAAAAATCATAAATATCATCTCCAAAACGCCACTATTCAAATCTAAATCTTAAATATAAATTAGTTACTCTTAAGAGTATTATTATCTATTTAATTCTTTAATGAAATTTATTTTGATTATTTTGAATCTTGAATGTTATATTTGTGATAAAAAAAATGATCGTCACTCTAGGAAATTTCTCTAAAATAATTATAACTAATATACAGTTTAGGCTGACTAAATATTGCCAAAAACATGTCCATGATGTACTTTTTCACGAAGAGTGTATACACATGTTAATTTGACATAGAACAAGCATACTAAATGTTTAACTTATGGTAAAAACACAAAGCATCACAGTAACTAACACTGTCTCTTCTATAAACAGTCATCACCTTAACTTACAAATAATATCACCTATATATCAATTATTTTTAAGAAAAACCATCACCTATTTAGATTTCACAACAAATTTCACAACCTAGTATCGGATCACAACAAATTTCACAACCTAGTATCTCCGACGAAATAAACTTGCAACTTTGGTGAAAAAAACTTGCAACATTGGAGAAAATAAGTTACAAAAAAATGAAAACTACACTTTTTTTTTTCCGTCAAGTTTGATTAATTAAAAGGACAAAAGCTCAATATCCTTACAAAAGAGCCAAAGGCCCAAATCTAAAGCCAACTAGAACAAAATACAAGAATGGGCTCAAAAGACACCTAAACTTCACCGACACATTCGGGAACCCTAAGACACGAGCCGCCAGACCCCTTTCTCTAACTCCATCCGATGGAATCGCCCAAACTTGCACGGCGCCGCATCGGAGATAAACACCCCTTCTCCACTGGAGATTCTTCTATAGAGAGATCAATCGGCGAACCGAGATCTCATCCGTCTCAACACATCATCCACTCCGAGATACCTTCCGTAACAACAGAAGCTTCTTTTTTCTCATGTCAACGTTATTGTCATCGGAGAGCTTCATCACCACGTGAGATCTCATCCAATCCGACCCAAACAACCACACAAAAGACAAGAACTACACCCAGCCCACACCAAAAGACAGAACATAAGCCATTACATGAACTAAAACCCAAAAATTACCACGGGTAACTAAACGGCAACGCAGAGCTTTGGAAGCCTCTACCTTCCGGAAACTAGAGCCGGCGAAAACGGAACTATGTTAGCTTCCCCTTCCCGGAAATCAGCCGGTGCCGGCAGAGCTTAAGAAACCTCCACTTCCCGGAATCGACTCTTGGACTTACAAACCGCCTTTCCCTCGCCGAAACCCTCTCCACAACCGCGTCTTTACTCCAGACACCGAGCCTCCGCGAGCGGTGGATACTGGACCAGAGCTCAGACAAGGCGATACGTGAGAGGAGATGAAGGAGAAGCAACACAACAAGCTTTTAAACAGAAAAAAGGATTCCGGCGACGGCACGCTCGCTCACGCGCCGGCCGTACGCCGGACCCAAACAGATCTACAAACAGATCTACTTTATCTCTCTTCTCTCTTCTCTTAATGCTGTGAAATGAAAACTAAACTTATATTCCATATTCTCGATTGTTTTCTATAAATATTTAAATTAAATAATAAATGCTCATTTGGTTGTAGAGAAAAATTGAATAGAGTAAGGATATGGCAGGAGAAGTGGACCTACAATATGTAAATTAAAGAATGTTAGTTGGTTTGTCCGTCAGTATTCGTCGCCTGCCGGTGAGAAGAAATGTTTTAATTATATTTTTATATAAATGCATATTATAAGCGTTATGATTGAGCGCACGTGTACTACTGGTGTCCACGTACATCTGTCTTTATTCACTGAAGTTGACCTATTTGTCTCCTCGCTCTCTTTCTTATCCTTCACGGACTTTCTTCTCTCTTTCGAGTCTTTTTTTTTTTCTTTTTTTTGTTCACCTCTTTTGAGTCTGTCCACTGGTTACTCTGCTAATGAAAAAGACCGGGCTGATTTTTTTTTGTACTGCTCAAGGAAATTTGGACGTTATTCAATGAGGTTTTCAATTAATTCGATTCAATTTAGTAAAATATTTATCAGTTTTAATTGATTTTCCGTTTTCTCGACTCATAACCGCAAAAAGTAGCTAGAGTGTTATTGTTTTTTCAATCGGTTAAAATTTAGGCTTAACATTAAAGGGTCAAACATTCAACAAAAAAAAATAATTATCTAGTTATAGTGCTAAATTGATTAATATGCTTGTTCATGAGACGGCTCAAACACATAAAATTTACTAATTAACAAACTTAACATAAAGTAGAAAGAATATTTTTCCAAACTTTTTATTTGTGGTTCAGTCTAGCCGCCAAAAAATCTAAAACAAATATCGAAAATAGTGGAAATTAGTGTGTGTGATTACCTAGTAGCTAGTAGAGTAAAAAGGTGAAAATTAGGTAGAAATAAAAGGAATGACAAATAATAAATTTGGAGTAAATCTTTTTTATCTTATTAAAGTTGAGATAAATTTATTCTATCTTAGTATAATTTCTCACTTTTTAGAGTAATTGAGTACAAATCATTTTTTATTTGATTGACTGAAACTAGAGTAAATAGGTTGAATTAGTTTTTCACATATTTATTTATTTATTTATTTTAATTCTGTTATACAGTTACAACCATTAGTTATTTTTTAGATCTGTACATATAAACTAAAAATATATTTAATTTTACGTATTTTAAAACTAAAACATCATTAGCTATGAATCTAACTATATTTTAACCAATGAAAAATATAATAGCATATAAATCTAATTAATTTTGAATTTTAATTATAATAACATTTATTTTGAATAGATTATTTTACTTACAACAAAAACTAAATAAAAATAAAAATAGAGTGAGTAATTTAAAACAGAGATTTGTAAACTATTTTATCACACAGTTAGTTGCACGAACAATCAATCCGTGCACAACGAAAAGAGCCAACCCAATCAACACTTTGGTTGCATTATACGTATGGGGAAATACATATATATATATATATATATATATAATTATTTGAAGTTGGCTTTTCCATGAAATCTTATTATGTACTTATATAATAATAGTACACGAACATATACTTTGAGCGAGAGAAAAGGATGGAGCATAAGGGGACAAAAAAGAGCCCCTCGTGCGACTGGAGGATGGAGATTTTCAATGTAACTGTACTATATACATCGCATCTTTTAATTCGGTGACTCCATAAAGTAATTTCGAGTCTTTGAAAATAAGAATATTTGTAATCCATTAATTCTCAATTTGATTTCCAGTGATGTGCAGATAAAAGCATATACTAGTATTTAAGGTGCGCGTGTGGGTGGACATTCCTCTTCTGGTCTCCATCAATGCACACGTCCATATAATTCATTAATTACTTGTATACTATTATATAATTAGCTTCCATTGTTCACAGGTATACATCGGTTTTATCATGTCGACAGTCATTTGCATTTACGAATGTATGTGTCATCTCGCTCTTTGATATTGCAGTATATACCAGAAACTTAATAAAGGGATTATTTTTATCATTCGAATTAACTTTAGTTTTCTTAACAAGGTTTAGATCTTCCTTCGTGCCTTGATCGTGGTAAAGATTAAAATTTGATGTAAGTTCCTTATATAGAAACCATGAAAAACTATTTGAATATATTATTGTTGATATAGTGATTCATTTCGATGGATGACCAAGAAAAAAGACGGAAAGGTGCTCAAGTTGCCACATCTCTGTTAACTAGAACGTACGTGTTTTGAACTCTCTCACATTTGTTGGCTCTTCTGCACTAATTTCATTTCCTCACGTAAAATACATTTCGAAAACTACCAAATCAACCGACACATATCTTTCTTCTTCTTTTTGTCCACACAGATTATTCTAGTCTAAACAATAATAACAGCAAGAAACCAGTTAATAACACAAACAATGAAACAATAGAAACACAAAACCAGAGGATGATGGTTTAGTGACAGGAAGACTTTGAGAAACTAAGCAATCTGAATTTGAAAACATTCTAATACATTTTATTTTTGGTCACATGGATATGAGTCAATCTATGCTTTATATCTCATTTGAATATCTAGAAAATTTATCTATAGATTGTATTTCTCTTTTTGGATTAGTCTAAATTATTCTGTAATTTTAGAGTATCCTAGATTAATCCATTCTTTTTTATTATACGCTAAGTTTAATCCAAGCAGACGGATAACATCTACCGAGTTTTGGAACAAGAGATATATGATTCAACTTTCAAAATATTTCAGTTTGGATTTGAATTCCTAAATTTATAATGGTATTTTTTGAGTGAACTTACGCCTTATGTTCGCAAAATCTAGTGAGGTTGTAAAAATTACACCTACCTATTTAAATAATCAACATGTTGTAAAGAAATTAATTCTGAAGCAATAAAAAATTAAAAGAACAAAACACGATTGAGACAAATATATGTTTATTGTTGTGTATTAATTATGTTACTACAATCTGTTAGGTTAGTATTTATAATAGTTACAAACCCCAATATTTTGATTAAAAGAACGAGTATCCTTACTTTACTAAATATAAATTTCTAATTTCAAAAACAGATTTTACCGCAAGCAATTTTGGTCTTCTCCACTCAGATGGATATGAAATTTATTGGTGAATAAAGATTTAAGTTATCTTTCGAATCAAAATAACACATAACATAAAGTTTAATATTATATAAATATAAACAAACTATATAAATTTAACTTAATACTCCAAGAAATGCACATATTAACTATGCTGTAAAAATTATACGTTAGTCATGTGACTAGATTTTGACCCGTTCTTTTCAAAGTCGAGTATTTTTTTTAATTTGTTTTATTATTTGATTTTTTTTATATATGTGTTTGATATTAATTAAGTTTCATATAACTTTTGCAAACTATATTGAATTATGTCAAGTTGCATATAAACTATAAACTCGTGTCATATGTATTTCACAAATTAGTTATAAACTTTATTTGTAAAACTTGCAACATAATATTTTTTCTTAGTATTTTCCTAATTATAAAGTTATAATTGTTCCCATTATATTACAAATTTTATGGAAACTATTTTGTTTTTTTTAAATGTAGATTAATCTGATCTTATTAAAGAATTATATATATATATATATATATATATATATATATATATATATATATATGTGTGTGTGTGTGTATATATTTCTTTTTTACCTTATGTATTGTTTGTTGATTTTATTGTGATTTTTGTTTGGTTAATGTGTTTGATTTCAAAATAGTAACATATATGTTCTTTTTTTTTTTGTCAACAGTAACATATATGTTCTTAAAAAATGTGAATTTTGTTTGGCTAATGAATTTTGTTTGGTTAATGTGTTTGATTTCAATATTTAGAAGGTGGTTATAGTTATTTAAATGCAGTTATAAAATAATTAATTAGACTAAACGTATATTAATAAATCATGGTTCTAATTTAATTGAATAAATAGTAATGTAGTGGTAAGTGGACTTTGGGCTGATAGGTAAGTCAAGTACAAGGTATCTTACTACATATATTGTATATGTGATCACACAAATATGAGTTTATTGATTAAATAGTTTATCTGTGGAATGCACTTTTATTCAGGGATTAGCTTAATTTATTTTCTAGCTTTAAGATACTTCTAGGTTAATAAAGAAATTATACGTTCATCTTTCGCCAAAAAAAAATGAAACTATACGTGAATGCAATTATGCAAATTGGTAGAGGTATGTGAATGTCATGTCGTTTTCTAAGGATCTAACTTGGATACACGCTTGGTAAAGGATTTGAGTCAATAAGGACTTTTATATAGAATACAAATACGGTGATTAGACGTATCATTTATCATAACAGACCTGATGTTCACTGATAGTGTGTACGGACCCGCTCATGAGACCTACACGGCTACTTTTATTGTATTTTCTTAATTACCTCATCATATCCAATTTTTAAGGACCGTATGTGTCCAAACTAATATATAAACAAAGAAAAAACAGAACATACTTAATTAAATTTGATTTGCAATATTTTTTAATTGTGGGCGTCTCGGCCAAAACTAGATAATATTTCAAGAGGCTGAGGTCGAGGAGTAACCTAATTCTATCTACTGGACAATGGACAACATGTTACATTATTCGATATGTCAGCATTTGCAGATAAATTATTTAATCGAATGATGAAGAAAGTTCAAGTATGGCTGACTTTTTCAACATAAATAAAAGAGATACAAAAATTGAAGAGAAAAATTTCACAATTTCAGACTATTCTACATTTTCTGTAAACAAAATGAGACTGTTGATTTTTCAACTAGAACTGCTACGGTTCTTTCAAAATTTTCTGAGTTTTTCGTTTATTCTATTCTATCCTATTATAGTTA